ACTACCTAATGAGTATAGTACATTCACCAAATTATTTCCTAGAAACTACAACTTGGAGCTTGCTTAGTTATTTAAAGTACAGAGAACACACGGAGGATTTTACAAGAGATAAATCATTAGAGCACCAGTTTTATGTTAAAGACCTTGAGTACCTTCAGAAAAATCCCGAAGAATATCAACAAGCCGAACAAGTCGAACGGTGTCTTCTTAATTTTCAGGTAAAAGCGTTATCATATTGAGATGGCACAGAGCTGGCATGTTGTCACTTAAATAGTCATCTGAGTGCGCCTTGGTTGATGAGTGTGGGGTGCGTCCTCCTTTAAGTGTCAAGATACGCTCTGGTTTCTATTGATGCGATTGAACGGGTGCGTCCTGTTTGGTTGTGAAGGGTGCGTCCCATATCATTGTTACCACATGTTGATTTCTTGGCGCGATTGAATGGGTGCGTCCTGTTTGGTTGTGAAGGGTGCGTCCCATGCCAAGTTTCTTCCAGCTTTGCGCTATTTTTATGTATTAAGAAGTTAAACAAAAAAAAACTAACTATTTCCCATAATTTTGTATAAGCTCGAAAAAATGAGTGAGGATGTAAACTCTTTCTGGTTGTCGGTTGACATGAAGAAACGGATTGATGTAAAAAAGGTGAGTAAAGTACATTCTTCTATGTCTTTATGTTTCGGAATACTGACTTAGAATATGAGTTAGCTGGAATGTGCAGGAAATGCATTGGATGCGATAGCAAACGAAACACGGTTACGGTCCGTCGTGACAGGTGAAGTAATATCAATTGTGGGAAGTTCACAGGTACATAACAATGATAAAGATCAGGGCGAAGCTAGTAGAAATGTTTTGGAGGTTCGTAATAATTTTTCTTCGCTAGCATTTAGCATTTTGTAGCCAAAGTTATACACACAATTCATCCAACAATATACCACAATACAATAGAAGAATAAAGACACTTCCGCCAACAAAAGGAAATTAGAGGACGACCAATCAGATTATTGTGAAGGACTCAAACATTTGTTCGATGAGTCCAATGAAGATTCCATTATAGAAAATATCGACGAAAAATCTCTTGAAGAAGAGGATAAATTACCACCTGCTAGTGGTAACAAGGTAAATTTTAATATCATGATTGGCCAGTACATGATCAGTAGAGTAATTATCTTTTCCTCGATAGGATCCACCAAAAATTCGTACAGATGTGTTGAATGCCTTCCGAATATACCAAGAAAAAATTCCCAAAATTCGCAGAGTTTTCACGTAAGTTTTGTGTCTTTTTGGAAAAACAATCATTGCCAGATTATCAATGCGTTTTATTTTATCCTCCATAGCCCCGCATATTGGGGAGTACTAGACCTAACTAAAGAAAGCCTATTTGGGTGTAAGGAAATTACCGAAAATGACATACATCAATTATCGCAGGATTTTGCCGACCATATAAAGTGGAAATGCGAGCCTGCCCCAAGAAATTTCCAGAAATATTTTGATGGAAATTGCGATTATGTTGATAGCAATCATAAAGATCTTAAAAAATTTGATACATATGTTCAATTTATGTAAATATTAAGTTATGACTTGTGATTATCTGGCATTATATTCTGACCCTCTGTATTACTGCACAGGAAAGTTAACATGCATTCGTTCCAAGGTATGCTCACCGAAGAACAGTTAAAAATGACTACTTCGTTTCCGCTGATTCATGGAACGTTTACGTCGAATAATATTAAAGATGTCTGGTAGGTTATTTGCGTTAGTTTGCACTTAGTAAAATACTGAATGTGAAACTGACATTCTTCTGCATGTAGGGGGGAGGTTCAAGCACTTTCAACTAGTGACGCGCGTAATGAAAATGTTGACCCATTCAAAAAAGCCCGGATGGGTAGGAAAGTTGACATGAAAGCAACCTTAACTAAAACATTAAACAAATTCGAAGTCATTTATGGTGAGGTTGCAGGGGGATTGGGGTCATTTGGAATTCCTTCTGCGTGTCGTAAGAAGCGATTTTTGGACAAAGTTAAATTGACGATAATTATGCGTGATGGAATAAATCGGCTATTAAAAGAGTGTAAGCACGTTACAGATGAAAGCCGAAGGAACATAATAATCTATGGCTGGTTACAAGTGGGTAAGTTCAATATGAGAAAGTTTCAGAAAATTCCTTGCTAATAGATTTTATTTTAGGATTAGAATTAAATTTTTACGCGATGGACTGGCAAGGGAACGGTATCTACAGATTCGGGTTGGTAGACCGGTGTAGAATACCAGTTGACGAAGATGATTGTAGCAATTTGGAAGACGCATACTGTGTCCTTAAATCGCTTGAGGTAATTTTCTATTTTTTTTTTTCTACGGTGATTTATAATAACTTATGGATCAAATGTATAGAGTAAGTCTCTTGAAACTGAAAAGGTGGTGAAAAGTCTTCTTTCGGAAAACACCAAGGGAAAACGACGTCGAATTACACCTGAAACTGAACCGGAACTGAACACAAATCGCACTCCAAAAAAATAAATTTTTATTAAATGGAATGTGGCATTAAGAATCTTAGCTTAAAAAATTGTTACATAATTTCATTTATATTGTTTTAAAAATTCTTTGAATAAAGTCTTTTGCAATTTTATTTCAATGTGCATTTAAATGATATATCTGGAACTTTTTTGGGATGATATTTTTATTCATAGAAAATCGAATGGGTAGCAAATAACATCACACAATACTTGTTCGTATGCAGTTAAAGAAAGATATAGCCCGTGTAAACTAATGATTTTAAAAAAAAATTTATTGCATCACAGAAATACAGAAACAAAATGTTTGTTTGGGTCAATTTTCACAATAGTTATACAAATTCATAATGCTTTATCTGCTTTTTCATGTATTTCATTCTTGAACCAAACTTCTGGTATAGTCGTTATCTTGTACTTAGTGCTATCGTATCCATCATAGAACAGATAGACAACTCGAAGGAATTGTGATTCTTCAGCAGGTGGCGATTTTACTGCATCGCTCAAGCACATTAACAATTCTTGTTTTCTCTTCCTATCATTACTATCCTTTGTAATTCCGTTGAACATTCTGTAACTATCAGGATTATAGCGAATAAAGAGAGTAGGGATGCCAAGTGCTTGCGCAATATCCCACATTCTTTTTACCTCACAGTTATATTCCCCTTTCTTGTGTTGATACTCATCTACTTCCAGTACAACTTTATGTGTGTCTGCATCAATGACAAAGTCTGGACGCTTTTTTGAACACACACCATCTTCTACAATGGAATCGTACGCTTCTTATAGAATATTGTTCTCGTCTAAAATATATTTCACTCAAAGTTGCTTTGCCAAACGTACTCTTGCTTTCGCTTTAGCATAAGTGCTACAATCAGCGCACTTTTGATCCTGCAAAAGGATATCAAGCAATCCACAATTAGAACATATTTTTTGGACTAGATCAACCATATTATCTGTGGAGTGTTTTCGCACCTAATTGGGTTAGAAAGTCCGTGAGTAGCAGGCTTTTTACAATCTGAGATCATGCATAAACGTGAAGATTGTGTTATCATACCTTTGTCTTTATGTGTGAAGCATCGTGACATTTTATAACCAGGTATTCCATATAGTGCTCTTTTTTGACAATTAATATTATTACACTTCGGGCCAACAACATTAACCATTTCAGGGTTTCGGTGGGCTTCGCAAAAACGTGCACTTTTTTCTCCAAAAAGATTAAAAGTCGGTATGGTCATACAACAAGCTTTTTCATACCGCTGATTTACTACGTCAACCATACCAGCTGTTTTGTGTCTAGCGCAGTATTGGCCTTGTGTTTTTCCCGAGACATTAAAATAAGGACGAGTATAACAATCTGAGTGTGCGCACTTTCTCCTTGCAATATTAATTATGTCATCCTGCTTATGCTGACCACAGAAAGTTCGTGATGACCCTTTATAGCAAAGAGCGCCTTTTTTGACAACCCGGATATTTACAAATTTTAGTTTGGATATCAATCATTTCTGGTTTTTTGTGTTTAGCGCAGAATTTGCCCTTATCTGAGCCAACAACATTAAAAACCACGCGTGTAATACATCCAGGTTCTAAGCATTTTCTGACCCTTAAGTGAATCATTCCTTCTTTCATATGAGTGACGCATGAAGTTGCTTTTGAGTCAGAGAAACCGAAATGAGGAAACTTATAACAGCCATCTTCTTGACACTGTGTCTTTACGTTAACATAACCAACTGGCTTATGCGTAGCACAATAACGTGGAGTTTTTGAATCTTTTGGGCCAAACGAAGCTCCTTTTTGACAATAAAGTTGTTGACAGAGTTGTGGCATTTTTATGTTAAACTAGAGGTGTCTAATTATAGAATATACTGTAAAATTAAATCACAACCGGAACTTTCAGCTCCAGTTACTGTCATCTGAGGTAAGATAAGCAAATCTTTAAGAAGGCTGACAGCTGTGTGAAGGATTGTTGAAATATATTCACAGCGCATA